CGTTAAGCGATTGCTACCACTTTTTTTGCAACTAGTGTATTTAAACAAACAAAGAGTGTTTAGCATTAATAAATATTATTAATATATTGTCGTAGTGATAATATGAAGATATCTAGAAATCCTGTAAAATTTGGTTGTAAAAGGGAAAGAAAGGGCATGAGTAAGTGAATCACCTTTCCTTCTCTTGATGTAAGGAGAAGAGTGAGCTAGATGTGGGAAGTGCTAATTTGTAAGTGCCTAAACTAGAGTAGTTCTAGCCAATTAGATTTTTGGATATTGTCATTTCTGCAAGACTTTCCCGTGGCAAGTTTCTCTGCGTCATTATCGAACTAGCGCATGACTGAAGTCCGCCACTCCTTATAAAGAGGCCTGAAGGCCCCGAAAAAACGCGCTTGTTTTGTTTTTACCCTTAAGCGGTTGACTGGATAGTTAGAGTCCACCTCTGCCATGACACAGTCTTCCACGAGTGCAGTATATTTTAATTCAGACGTCACTCTCCTCAACTCTTACTGGTCTACGATGTCTTGGTTCTAAATAAAAGTAAGTATTTAAGGTTGAAAAAGTTTTTTAACTCCTTCTTCTCTTTTCTCTTTATTGGCATGGGCATAAAAAAAACGCAGACACCATACTTGCTTTAGTAGTGGTACCTGTGAAATACCAGGTAATGATTAAGCAATCGCGCACACCACTACTCGCAATAGTATTGGTACCATAGGACATGCAGAAATTAAACTATCTGTTGAATTGTGCGTAAAAACGAGAAAAAGTACCATAACTCGTAGCGATATTGGTAGATTCTAGTCAGGTCACGAGTTAAAATACCATCGGCCATCTCTCCGTACCCCTGTAACGATACCTTTACTCGTAACTGTACTGGCACTTCCTAGACTGTGAATGGGACCCCATTCAGTACGCTGCTTCACGTAAAATCGAAAAAACTTAGGTGTGCCATGATTGAGTAAGTAAATGAGGCTGAGATTTACGAGTCTGGTCACCCGCATGTGGAATAAAATAATTTTCTTCGAATAATATACTTCTACCCTCTTCGTTTTCTCTGTATACATGTTGCCTTTTTGACGTTGTTCTTAACAGGTCGTGTGGATCGCTCTTTTTTTTAAAAGTTATTTATATTTTGACATGCTATCTGAAGTAGGACCTCTTGTAAGCCAGAGTCTCCAGGAGCTAAGCAGTTGGCCGAGCAGCAAGCATTGTGGGCGTGAGGGTCATTTTTGTGTTTCAGGTGTCGTGTGGTCATCATCGAGTTTAGTATGAGTATCTTTGTGCACTGGTCTAGGATTGCCCTAAACGTTACACCTACAGTGTCAGAGGGCGAGAAAACGTAATGTTACAAAATAAGAAATTAATATTCTTAATACCAGGCGATATCATGAGACTTATAGCTTATAAAAAAATGTTTATATTGTGGCTAAGTTAGTCTGTTAATAAGCAACGCACAGTAAAAACATGTATTGCTGTCTATTATCTAAAAAATTGCGTAAAATCTTGGTGTTTAGAAGTGCAATAAGTCTTTGATTAATAATAACAAAGATCGATCCGTTCATTCTACAAATCCCACCAACTTACTTACACCAATGCTTACAATTTACAGTGACATTTGTGAATCATACATCACAGAAGACGTTCAAGCATGATTTTTGTGGGCCATGTCAGTGATCCTTTAGAGTTATGCGTACAGTGGTGTCAAAATGTAAATTTTCGGACCTTCTATGAATAAACCATTAATATTGATATAAAGGACCTACATCATTTGACTTTGAATTACTGCTGTAACAGTTCTCGTGAAATAAGTTGATAGAAAATAATAGATTTCTATCAGGACAACTTTATCACGCAAAGTTATGGTGTTGGTAGAATTATGGCTATAATACACGAAAACAGTAGAGGAAATATTGGGAACATTAATATTAGACTACTCTATAAACAAAACACTGAGATGTTAGATTGTTTTTTGCTGAAGTATGCTGACGATTATTGCTCTCATGAAACGAGGTCGCAAATTGGTTTTCAAAGAAGCTGTTTGTGTAGGTATGAATATTATGTCTGATACCACCACTAGAAATTTACCTTTACAAAAGACATTCCGCATTTAAGAGATGGAATCTGGTTGTACGCTCAGAAGAAAAGCACAGGAAATATTGGTCAAACTTATAGAAAGTTCAAAATATAAATTTGGTTGACTCAGCAGATCATTTCAGTTGCAATTGCTTCATAGAACTATGCTGTTGGGGCGTAGATATTATAAAATTAAGATAAAATTTATTTAGAAATTGCCCAAAAAATAAGAAAAACACCATAAAAAGGAAAAAAAAAAAGAAAGCTGCAAAACATAGTTCATGATGTATAATTTGAAAAAATGGGTTTTCTACTCAGTTTCACGAACAAGTGCTTTAAGTCTAAGCTTTTTTGTTTGATACTGAACCCCCTAAAACAAGTATCAAGGGCTCATACAGGATGTACTGTTTAACTAGGTTGATGTGTTTTTAATCAGAAACCTGTATCACTTCCTCATAAAGCATACGCTTATCAAGGGGATATAAAAACTTTATTAAATTAGGGATCTGTGGCAAAACTATTCCTTTTGACAGTTGCATTATGGTGCAACGATACGGCTACAAAGATGGACAATGTTTTGCATGATAACGAGCGGTTTTTCCAAGCGACCGACATTACTATTAGCAAAGAAATCTGTTGTTCTGATTTGTCATCTTCATTGCAATGCAAGCAACTAGGAAAAATAACTTACCAATAGCATTGAGGTGCGAATGCGATTAGTAAGATATCTGAGTGCATTTTTTCATATGAATACTTTAAATTTCATTTCAGTTTACGTAGAAGGAGCGAATCTTTTAGTGGAATGCATTGAAAAAAGCCCATCTCTTTTGCTAGCTCATACCCAAGTTTGGTCAAAGAGCACGACAAAATGTCTGCTTACGCGTGTTAAAGTATTAACTGTGACGATACAGACTATTATTAATGGCGAAACTTCAAATAATACTATGTTGGGCAGCTAACCGAAGCAAGTCTACGTTGGTTTGTACAAAATTAAGCTTACAATGGCAATGTTTTTTTTTCAGTGTGTATGTTAACAATATAACGTCTTGTTTTTAAGTAATGGCGTTGCTTTCTCGATAAAGGAAGTCACATTAACTGCAAATTTTATTTTAACGGTTACTTGCTCTCTGTAAAAAATTAAATACCAGATTTATTGGCCAACAAATGTACTTATTAGGATCCTTATAAGCACAGTAACGTTAGATTTAACGTATAATTTACCAAGGTTCTAACTTTAACAGTAAATTGTACAGTGTAGGCTGAGTACGGCAATATTTTTAAAATCAATGAGTCATGGTAAAGTAGGATAATTTTAAGTAAATAAATGGTGCATTTAACCACAACTTCTGTCATTCTACATTACTGTATCTGCTTATAATGAGTAATCTGTGCATAACAAAAATGGAGCCATGGATTGTTTTAAATTCTTAGAAATAAAAAGAAGTTTCAGCATTTTTTACGGCACCCTCTGAATATCTTATAAAAAAGTCCCAGGCACCACTTTGATACTTTTGCTACATATACTTGCTCTTAAGTCTTTTTTTAATAATACGTAGCATACATTTGTGCTTCAATAAATAGCAGCTATCAGTCTCTGATCAAATATTTAACAGTGATGACATTGCACCAAAGAGAAAATGAAGCAGGTAAAAAAAGAGCCTTATTAAGTAAGAATTGACTAACATCAATAATCATCACTTTCTCATATTATTTGCAAGCTTCACAGATTAAACAACTCATTTACGAAAAAAACTATCGTTAGACTTGAATTCGAAAACTTACTAGACAACGATTGTGTACCCATCATTTGTCTGTTGGGCATAGATTTTGATGGAATCCCTTTCAATGTTAATAGTTGAAGCGAGTAAAAATTGGCCTTCTCCAACGTTGAAAAATACCTTTTGATGAGTGACAGTAACTTGCAAGATAACAAGATTGATGGGTCTGACTGTTCCTTGACGTTTACAATGAGTTATAAAGAACAAGCCATAGAGATCTAAGAAATAAGATGACAAAATGAAGACGAGAGATCTGCACATAAGTATCTTGAAAGTTTTGTATTAAAAACAGTAACGCTTGATCATTTACACAAACTTATTGTACATTGCATCGATTGTATTGTACCTGCATTCAGTGCAATATGAGATTATATGCCTATCGTAGTGTAGAAATTAAAAAAATTTTGAAAAAAAGGTAGCAGTGTGGGCAGAGAACGAATTACCTACTCCATACAAAAAATTCTAGAAAATAATGTGATTAAGTTGAACGGTAACAATGTGCAAAGTATATTTAGAAAGGTCAAAGCATATGACATTGGAAAAGAAAGACCTCAAAAAGTTATCATGTGTGACGTAATGTAAAATATTGCATTCTCCTTATAACAAAGCAAATTAAAATTTGCAGTAAAAAAAAAGCTAAATATTTTTCAGCTTTCCTTGCTTTTTAAAAACTTACACATTTTTTAACGTGCATAAAGAGAGTTTAGCCAATCTTAGCAGCAGATTGATAAGAAAATGTTAAGAAGGGGAATGTATAGTGGCCTGCCTGAAAGTGTCTCTAGTTTAGGTGTAGGAGGAAAGGATTCCCTATCCTATATAAAGTAAGTGTACAGTGGTTCAGTGGTTCCACATGGAAACTCTCACCATGTAGTAGAGGTTCGTTTTGGCCAAGCAAAGTATTGCAACAACTACTTGTGTCAATCGAGTTCTCCGTGCGCTCGTATCGTAATGTATAATGACAGAATGTACCTCCCAAAAATAACCTTATTTAGTTTTTTGAACTTACTTAATGGAAAGTAATTCATTGATTGGATTCTAAAATACTACCATAAGCTTTTTTATTATCTTGTCAATAAGTCAGAGATTAAAAATTTGAAGTGCAATCTTTAAAAAGCTACAAATCATTTAAGATAAATATTTTGTTTACAGACTTATAGTGAAGGATGTTTGGAAGACAAAAAAATTAAGGACTCTTTGAATGGAACAAAAAAAAGCGATGCCAAAACAGACTTACTTAATGCACCAGTTCCAGACTTGCATTCAGTTGGGGGAGTTTTAGTCAATATGCCGCACGTAAGTAATTAATTAATTTGATTTATTAATTTTAAGTAAGCTTCGGCAGAATAAAATATTTTTTAATAGTAATATGTTTGGTAATCAACGTTAATTGTTGATTATTAGGACTTTCAGTAATATAAAAGTACTAGGATGATTTTTTTTATTAAAAAATTTTTTCAAGAAATTTGTAGAAGTCTTCTTCAGTTTACATTATAGTATTACAACAGGCTCAAAATTAACTAACCTGAACAATAGATGAGCAACATTAAACTAGTAATGAAGTTATTTTTTATCCAAAAATGCAAGCCAATAACTCAAAGCTTTCTGGTACAAGCCCAACGTTGTAAAAAAATGTAGTTATACAATTATTTTTCCAGAATTTTTTGTTTAGCTGAGAACCAAGAGCTCAAGTTTACGTACTTAAGCCAACAATCATATTTGCCAAGATTGAAGTTTGATGTTATTGGTTTTATGGATGTTGTATGGCATATAAACGACTATTGGAAGATTTTTAAATAATGATGAAAAAAATTACCTAGGCATAAGCATCCGTGGTCACTTTTAAGTAGTGGATAAGCTCTGACTGACGGGTCATTTAAATAGTTTGTAAGTAAGTTAAAACTATGAGTTACTTTCATAAATATTCATAAAAAATTGATTGCAAAACAGCTTTATATGGAAATAGAAGAGTGAGCTGTTATATTTTTCAATAATACTGAATATTTAGTGGGCTGCATCTGCTAATCGTTTTATGACGCTACGTTTACGAGTTAAATTTTGCATTCTGCTTAATAATATGCCATAGAATTGTATTACTATATAGGTTTGATGTGTGATAGTGCCATAAATTATTTAATTTTTATAATTTTTTTGGTATGTATTGTAAAATCTCTAATTTCACAATAATATTAGAATCATAAGCTTGTTTGTCTGTTGGCAACAATTTTAGAACTACTGATTTAGTATAGGTCTAACAGAACATTGGATGTAACTGTTTCTTAAATTTTTTGATATTTAATGAACCACAATAAATATCAACAACATAAGATTCACTTGATGCATGAAGTTGAAGTAGAACATTAAGCCTATTGGAATCTTCATGGTGAGTGAAATCGGAGACCTTATTTTACTGCAATAGTTGGTAGGTTCAATAAATATTAGAGGAAAATGAAAAATTTTCCAAAGATACTGAAAATTGAATGTTAGTAATATAGTAATTAATTATTAAGACTCAAAATTAGTTGATATAAGTACGTAAAATATTACTACGTACTGAAAGGTCCCAGATACACTACTTAGGAGAAAAGCCACGCTAGTGTGTGTGCCCATATCTTTTAAGTATGATGTATACATGAGACAACAGACAAGGTGTACAGAAACAAATAAGATCTAAGACGTTTATCCTATGAAGCAAGTTAGTTGTGCAAATAGTGAAGTTAACAGGATCTTTAGTTCGAGTCAGCCCCACCTCAGCTTGGCCCAGCGCCGATCCCACCTCGACTCAGTCGAGCATTCGCCCCACCTTGGCTTCCTCCAGCACCCGTTGTTGGTCGTGGCAGTGACCCTTTTGCCTCCCATTTCAGAATATATTGTCTTAAGTCCTTAAAAGATAAGCCATCCTCGCTTTCAAACAGCCTTTTCAAATTAGCTATTTTTACGTCTAGTACTCCATCAACAATCGCATGATAGAAACTATCTCTTTTCTCATCTTTGAAAAAACTATTAGTTTTACGAACTAATTTAAAGTCTCTTACCAGTCCATCAAATAATTCAAAAAATTTAGTAGCACTTTGCTATTTGGGGTCAAATCTAACGGAATGTATTTTGTTACGTATTTGATATGCACTCATTTTTATATCACTCCTTTTCATATTGTTAATTTTTTGTATCATTATTGATGAATCAGTAATGTGATATACTTTGTTTTGGTTATCTAGGGACAACCTACCTAGTATTACGTTTAGGGCCTGTTATTTATCTTCTTCCATTTTTCCTTGAGTAATGTTCATACTAGCTTCCAGTTTTGAATCAATTATGTGAGGCAATTTTTTACTTTTCAGTTCTGACCGTAATTGTTTAATGAATAATTCTTGTTTAGTTGCATTAGTAAAGAAATAATTAAAGCACCCAAGGCTATCTTCATTAACGACTTCTATCCTTGGACTATCATTAGGCATAGCGCGTTTAAACATCAGCAAACTATCAATGGAGTCGGAGCTTAGGTTAATTAATCGCTTACATAATTCAGGTCCCAGAGTAGATGTAGTAAGTTTATTTACCTGTTGCATTCGACTCCTGGCCAGTTCTTGCTCAAGAGCCTCCATTTTCCTTTGTTGAGCGGCTTACAGCTGCTCAAATTTAGTTCAGAGTGTCTCTTGGGCCCTCCTATTTTCCTCCCTTTCATTTTCCAAGGCCTTTTCATGTTGGGAGGCAACAACTTCAAATCTCATTGACATCCAGGAGCTTTGCTAGTATCTTTCTTGTTTTATCAATTTTTCGATTTCCTCGATATCTTTCTTTGAGGCTTCTAAAATTTTGTTTCGTAAGCTTATAAGGTTTTTAGATTGGATATTTTGACCAGTTTTCTTTATTAGTTTTTCCTTTAATTCATGATTTGCATGCGCCATTTCTTTACGTAAGCTATCTAGCTCTTTCTTTAGGTTGTCTTTCCTGTGTTGCAAGTCTTTAAATTGGCTATTAAACAAATCTAAATTTTTGCTTTTCAAATCTTTAACCTTTTCGTAAATTGAGGTATCAGTAACATTTATCTTTCTATCTTCCAAACCTTTATTCTTCTTTTTAAATGAGGTATTAATCAATTTTATTTTTTCATCTCTTAAATCTTTATTCTTATCTTTGGATGAGGTATCAATCGAATTTATTTTTCTATCTCTCAAATCTTTATTTAGATAAGGTATCAATCAAACTTATTTTTCTATCTCTCAAATCTTTATTCTTATCTTTAGATAAGGTATCAATCAAACTTATTTTTCTATCTCTCAAATCTTTATTCTTATCTTGAGATAAAGTATCAATCAAATTTATTTTTCTTTTTTTAGGGCCTTTCCTTTGGATGCGCTGTTATTTTGGAACGAGTCGAATTTGACCAGCACATTTTCTATTGAATCAAACAGGTCTAACATATTTTGATTGTGATGTGCATTTCCTCCCATGTATGCAACAATTTCATTATGTATGGAAAACATGGCCGGGTTGTTTTTACGAGTTACAACCACCTTGTCTAGTTCCCCTAGATCGTCTTCAATCTTTTTATATGCATCATTTATCATATTGATGGCATTTTGACTTTAAATTAACGGGAAATAAAAAGGCAAAAGTACTTTTTTTATGCTTAAGTGCGCGTAAGGCTAGTGGTTTTCTTGTAGAAGTGACACAATGATCGAGCGTGAGTAAATCCAAGGGAAAATGGCGCGAGCATCATATATGACAGGCATAGAGAGACAAAACTTCAATGGCCGATTAACAAAATTTATTTTACGACACGCACCACCAGCTGTAGCGTGAGAGGACGTGCACTCTCAGTTTTGCCAAACGCAAGCCATAGCTGAAGCGCGCTACTTTTCTCCTCGCCTCGAGGCGTCCCCCTTGGTGATGACTGGCAGGTTTAGCGGGAAACGCGTCTCCTTTGTCACGATGTGGGCCCTTCCCTCCCATAAACAAACGCGTGCCGGCTCTCTCAAGTTCCGCAAATCTCTGAACGAGGAAAGCCTTCTAAGAAAGGAAACCTCAATCATGCAATCTTAAGTAAGCTGTCTTGTTCCTTGGGCCATCGAGAGTTGGGCCTCAAGAGTTGGGCCATCGTTCGCATGTCGGGGTGATTCGGCTTCTGCACCTCCATCTTGACTCTGCTTTGCCGCCTCCTGGGGCTGACTCTCACCTTTTTCAGGGAAAGTCGGGGTGAGAGGACTGCCAAACTCTTCCATTTCACAGTGCTCACCACCTGACACAGAGCTCCCCGTTGCTTTCGCCATTACGTCAACACGTAAAAGTGACAAAAAGAAGGCACACAGGGAATGCGCGATGAGCTCAAGTGTGGAGCAAAAAGAAGAAGGAAAAGAGAAAATCAAGACTCGATCGAGCAAATTTCATACCCACACTACAACTTTGGACGCATGACCTGTTAGCAGTATTGGTTTATAAACAGGAAATTTGGTAAATAAAAGTATAATACTCGTAATATATAATTGAACACAGACACGTTTTTTGTCACTATCTTAAGTCTTAACTATCTTTAACAATTCACTTTCTCAAGTACAGTAGCTAAACAAACAGAAAACGTAGGATAAAATATAAAAGTTATACGAAGACAGAGAGTGCGTGTACGAACAGACTGACTCACCGCGCGAGAGTGAACAAACTGTAGTTATTTGACGTTGAAGCGCATGCGTGATAATTTAGTTACAGACACCAACAATACGTCTAACAAATATAAATAAAAAAATTTAATAACTTAATAAATAGAAACAAGGTGTTGGTCTCGGGGATCCCGGCAGAAGTTTAAGTTTGAATTTGAATGTTATTAAGCTTGGTATAAAAAAAAACCAAGAAAATGAGAGTATACCTAATCTTATTAGGTCTTTAAGAATCTGATATGGAAATAGACAAAATTTTCATATTGTTTCGTGTTTGAGCATCTGCGTCCATAAAATACGTATACTTTAATATAATACTTATGTTACATGCGATTTGCACATTCTAAGTACTTCCATGCTTGCTATAATATATGTAATACATGTACAAATTGTTGGTCATATTATGCAAAATAAAACAAAAATTTTCTTCATACTGCGCCAAAAAATGTTAATTGTGCGAAACAAAAGTTCTTTGTATGTAAAAGTATTATTCATGCATTTGATATGACATTATATATGTTTAATCAAGTTTTGTTGGAATCAATATATCAAACGGATAAAAATTTTTTTTAATTTTTGCTACCATTAAACCAAAACAATCTGCTACACTTATCTGGTTCAAATTGAGGAAAATAATAGATA